AATATGTGTAAAAGTGATCCGGTTGGCATTTCTTCCCATTCATGAGCTCACAAAGCAGAGCCCTGGTTTTACGAGCTCGATCTTTACGAGGTTGTTTTGGTTTTTCAAAGCCCTCAGCCGAGGGCTTGATCCAGCCCTGCTCAGCTCCCAGCCCCAGCATTTGCTGCCAGCTGGGACCAAGCTGGGAATTGCTGTACACAGGGAGGTTTGTCCTGGCTCCAGGATGGTGCTCGGCACAGACACGGCGCGTGCAGGGGTGTCATCATCTGTCCAGCGTGGCTGCACACCTGATTCCAGCGTGGATCAGCCCACGGAGCTGGATTTGTGTCTGGAAAGTAAAGCAAGAACATCAGTGGGAATGTCCATGGATAAACGAGGGCTTTGGGCTTGGGTCCACGGAGCTGGCAGAGGACAGGCACTGAGCAGGATGCCCAGCTCTGCCACCACACTGCTGGCTGACCAGGGGCTGGTGGCTTCCCCTCCTTCCCTCCTCCTTCCATCCTCACCTCCACTCCCCAGGTAGCAGCAGCCACCCAAAGTGTGCCCGCCGGGCAGAGCTGGGCTGTGCACTGGCTCCTGGGCACCACGGGGGCTGTGGCCTCACCCCTGGGGGTTTTAGAGCCTGACTTCCTGCAGACAGTCCCTCATGGCACCTCCTGGCCATGCCCACCCTGCTGTGCCCTGCAGGGAGCTCCCACAGACAGACACTGCCTGCAGTGGGACACACAGACACGTGCTCCCAAGGGGCCAAGCAGGCATCCAACCCACCCTCCTGATGTCTTCTCTCTGGAATTCAAATCAGGCTTTTCCTCCCACTCCCAGGCAGGGGAGCTCCGCTCCCTCCCCGCTTCCCAAGGAGCAGACAGGGCTGAGGAGAGGAAGGGAGACTCCCAGGCCTTTCATCACTGCAGGGGAAGTAACGTGGCTCCATATCTTTGTCCCAGTTTTACAGCTGGAAAAACTGAAGCACAGAAGTGCTGGGTCTTGCCCAGCCCTGACCCCCATCCCCACTGCTCCAGAGCCCTGACTCGAGCCCCTGCAGGGATGGAGACCCCGACTGCTCCCTCCAGCCCAGAGCTGTCACCAGGGGAAGCATCCTCTCCCCCTTCCCATCCCTGCCACAGGCCAGAAGCACTGCCCTGGCCCTACCTGCACGGCCACTGGCAGCAGGGGAGGCAGAGCCAGCCCTGGCAAGACCCCATAGGAAGTGCTGGCCAGAGGGTCAAGTGTTGTTTAGAAAACTCTGGGAAAGTTTGTTTATGCCACGGATCAGAGCGGCTCCTTTGGCTGTTGATCCAGAATAAACAATGGGTATTTAAAGATACTTCTTTATACATAGAGAGTCAGGATGAATCGGGGAAGATCCCTGCTTGGGGGGAGATGGGATGCAGGGAACAGGCAGTGCCCCTCTCCTTGCTCAGCAGCACATGGAGCTCCTGGTGCCCATGAATGTGTTTGGAGAGAGGAAACAGATGCCTGAGCTGGTCCCAGACACATCTGAGGGTGCACAGGCTCTGCCTGGCCATGGAGGCCGAGGGGTGAGAGCTCAAGTAGCAGCTATGGATAAAACAAAAGCTTTTTATAGCTGGGAACTCGCTCCCTCCCTGGCATGTGGCTGCATACTCGGAACAGGACAGGAGATAAACCCATCACACGGCGGAGTCACAGCGGTGTCACTGCTCACTGCCATTGGCACACCGACAGTGGGGACACCAGCGTCCCCCTCTGCCCTCTGGTCCAGCTTCCTCAGCTCCCCACCAAAGCAGAGGGTCCTAAAGCAACCCCAGCACAGCAGGTGAAGGCACCAAAACTGCCCACTGAGCCCTCGGGGGTCTGTCTGTGCAACCTTTCCCCAGGGTGTGGGTGCAGGCGGAGCAGGGAGAGGCACAGCAGCACCCAGAGAGACACAGCCCAGCTTTGCAGCAGCACCAGACGGTTCCAGAGCTGCTCCTGAGCCAGGCTCCTGTTGCGCAGTGCTGCCTGTGCAATGAATTCCGAGCCAGAGCTGTGCTGGCACAAGTCTCCAGCCCGGAGCAAAGGGCAGGGGCAGTGGAGGGGTTCACCCCCCCAGCCTGGAGAGTCGCAGGCACTGGCACCTCTGGGATGGCACCGCAGCCCTGCCACTCCATCAGCGCTCATTCCCCACCAGGTTCCCAAAAAGGTTTTCCCAAAAATCCACACACATTGTAGGAAGGTGACAGTGCCTTCCTCCTGGCGCTCATGCCCCACGTAAGGCTCAGAGAACACTCTGCCCAGAGACCCC